TACCTATCCAGTGACTCTTTATAAAAAATATATTTTACATATAAGATGCACATACATTACTTTACATAAAAAATGAATCACTATTTTTGGTAAGTTGTTGCTTTTTAAAGTATTTATTGTACTGTTATTTGACATAATTTAACAGTACTTTAAAATCCTATTGAAAAGACTACCAAAAGATTACAAGTTAAGGTTTCTAAGCAAGAAATATATCTCTGAGATTTATTTTATTGAAATTATTTCTGAATCAATTTCAATGAATATAATTAGATAAAGTTTTTGCATTATCTGTGATTTCTGATCAAATATTATGCAATGTCTGGTGTATGCTATTGGAGCAACTTCAAACAAAATTCTGTCACAGCTATAAGTATTGTCATTATTCATGACTCATGTTAATGATTTTAAAGCTATATTTTTTGCAGAGCAGTAATAAATTGAATTTTGATCTTAGAGTTTGCCCAATAGAGGCACAACTTATCCCTATATTTAATATGGAGTCTGAGATTCAGTGGTTCCCCTCCTAGCTGAATAACATAGTTGTTATTTAGTTATGAGATATTAATTTTTTCTTGAAGATCATTTTGAACTAAGAGTAATAGTGAACCACTAGGAAGATACTCTAAGGGTTATAATTAATCACACATATTTGAGCTTAGGTTTAAGTTTAGATAAAAATCTAAATTATTGTTTGTGCAAAATTATTGTAAGTTGAAGGATGGAGAAATAATTCAGTTTCTCTTTATAATAATGCTCAACATTCAGCAAATTGTTTTTAATTCCCTAAGACAACCTGTAAACTGAAATGGATGAATGTTTGGATTTGATAAGTTAACATAGAAATGTTTTTAGAAAATAAGCACTCAATTAGCACTGACTATTTTAAATAATCTTACATTGAAGAAATATAATAAGTTATATAGATATATATGTGATGCATACTTGAAACATACAGCCATATATCCCTGATCTAGTAAGAGATTATTAGAAAAAAATACTAACTTGAACAATATACAGATTTGAACTAAATTAAAATTGACAAAGTCTTTTATAAATGATAATTTTATACTGCAAATGAAGAAACAAACTTTTTAAAAACTAAAATGTCATTTAGCTATTTTAAAAATACTTTCATTTTAGAAGATATTCTGATCTTTATAACATTTTAAATTGAATATGTATATATGAAAATAAGCTAGGTACTATTAAAACTCCATTTGACAGGCTCAGAGAAATTGATTTATCCAAGGAAGGAAACAAATAAAAACAAAACAACACAGCAAGTAGAGACTTGGATCTATGCAGCAAGTAGAGATTTGGATCTATGATTCTCAACTCCCTCCCTGATAATAAATATCAAGTTGCAAATATTCTTTTTCAATAGAACACCTGTTCTTTTTTAAGTAATAGCAATTATGTAGCAAATGAATTATGGTCCTGTTTAAGGCTCAGTTATAAAGGCTATATGATATTTCACCACTTTAACTTAGCAAACAGCGTTATGTTAGAAGAGTTACAATTGCTTCAAAATTATATACATTTTAAATTAGACAGCAAAGCAGTATATTTAGATAATTTATTATGTAGATTAGGAATAGGATTTGAGTTAAGATTTTAAAGGTGTTTGTGAAGAAATATAAAATGAGGTTAGTGTTTGCTCATTTTTGGTACAACTGAGAATAACAATTCATGTATAAATTTTGTCCATCATGCAACTTCATATATATTTATACAACCAATTTCTCACATTAAAATTCTCTTTAAAAGTGGAAAAGCACCTAGATCTATTTCTAAGACACCAGGTTATTTTAACCATATAATCAAACTAGAGGCCCAGTGCACAAAATTAGTGCTCTAGGAGGGGGTGTCCCTCAGCCCAGCCTGCACTCTTTCCAATCTGGGACCACTCGAGAGATGTCTGAATGCCTGTTTAGGGCAGTTGGACATTCCTTTCACAATCCAGGACTGCTGGATCCCAACTGCTCACCTGCCTGCCTTTCTGCCGCTTCTGCCTGCCAGCCTGATCACCCCCTAACCACTCCCATGTCAGCCTGTTGATGTCTAACTGCTCCCCTGACAGCCTGTTTGCCCCCAACTTCCCTCCTCTGCCGGCCTGGTCACCCCTAACTGCCCTCCTCTGCAGGGTTGATCGCTTCGAACTGCCCTCCCCTGCTTGTCTGGTCCCTCCCAACTGCCCTTCCCTGCTGGCCATCTTGTGTCCACATAGGGGCAGGATCTTTGACCACATGGGGGCAGCCATCTTGTGTGTTGGAGTGATGGTCAATCTGCATATTACTCTTTTATTAGATAGGATTGTATTCTAAAAGCAGCTGAAAGCCATAATACACATATAGACAGAGATTAGCATCTGGTCTATAAGTCAGCCTTCTCAGAGAAAGACAAATACATCCTACTAAAGCCAGGACCAGAAGTATACTTTTAAAATTATATATATATATATATATATATATATATATATATATATATATATATATATATATATATATATATAGCAATGTAAACAAATACAAGTATACTGTAGGATACCTAGAAAACAAAGAAAATATCTAAAGAAGGAAATGTAATTTTAAAAATGGGCTGTAATGCCATCACTCAGGAATAACAACCTTCAAAGTCCCTCTGCAGGGCTTATACATTATATACACACATATTAACTTTACATGGTCGGCCATTCTGTCTATAAAATTTTGTGTGTGCTCTACATTCACAATATTACGTGCACTTTACTCAGATGTGCGTGTCTTGTGTTACAATCACCACTTTGCCTGTTGGGGGAAGGGGCATTTTTCTAATTTGTATTTTGAAAAATGTGGCTGTTTTCCAGCTGTACTGATAACAGAGATTGTGCAGACATGCCTCATTGCTTGCTAAGTGTTAAGTAGAAGAGTTAGTACAAAAAGTGGCATAATAAAATATGGTTTGTTCTGCAGCCTGTGTGCAGCAGGAACAGACTTTTCTGCATTCATTTAGAAGTTATAAATACAAGACAAAGCAAGACAGAAATCAGAGAGGAGTGTACTGGAGAAAAAGGAGGGGTAGATAGCCTTCCTTTCAAAACAATAACACTCCCCCTCCAAAAAAAGTAAGTCTTTATAACAAGAGCAATTTTTAAGAAGATATTGAGTTACAAAGGTATTTTTATGGCAGTCACCAATTATATTTGTAAGTAGTTCCACTTCACCTCTTCCAGGCACAATGTAGGGTTGACTGCACTTTCTAGGCCTTTCGTGTTTAGGTGGCACCATGGGGCGAGTTTGGGCAAATGTGATGAGAAAGTGTTTCTGTGTCTTTTCCAGGAAATGCCACTCTCTTGTGGTGTGAGGCCTTGGACACCCTTTTTCCTCTGAAAAAGGAAACTTTTGTGACTGGCAATGTTCAAGCCTAAACTGAATATAGACCCCCCTGCCCACCTCTGATGGCCTTGTAACATGAATGACAGAGAAACTTGGGTTGTTTTCAGCCACTGAGATTTGGGGTTGATTTCACCATGGTGTAATTTAGCCCTTTCTTACTCATAATTATTTCGTGTTTATGGATTTGTGTACAACATTTTGGAATATATATTGACTAACTGTATCCTTTCATGTTTGATCATGGAGAAGACATTGGAAAGGTGTTTTAAGGGCTAAAGAAGAGGCACAGTTAAAGTGAAGCCAAGAATACTGGTAGAATGTATTAAAACTATAGTTAACACACACCGTGGATTTCTGGATAGCTCCTGATTGTAGCTGTTGTCCTTGTATAATTATTAATAGTAACTTCTTTCCCTCTCTAGGGTTCTGGTTTAGATGATTAATTTTTATGGTAGTTCTAAAAAACCATGTGTTGACTTTTCCATCCTTACCTTTTCCTATTGGAAAGGATGTTTGATTTTCTTATTAACTTGATTAATATGCTTTAGTTCACTTTCATATTTATATTTTCCTTCTCACATATTATTATGCTATGTTTCTCAATTGCTGGCTTCTAGTGTTTTTCATTAGTGCACTACTTATTCTCCTCTGGATTATAATATACTGATTCTTCTTTAGCTCTTTACTTTACACCATCTGTAATAGTGAAATTTATTACTTTATGAAATTTCTATTAGTTTAGTCAGTACAGTAGGTTCTCAGGTTGTGTCGGAGATCCTTTCCTACGGCCTGACATAACACGATTTTCACCATAAGTCGGAATTCACCTACATAAGCACCTACGTCACTCACATGGAGCACATACACAGCAGTAATGAAGTAAAGCAGTAAAAAATATTAAAAGAAAGATAACAATTCCTGACCTTTTCTTGTGGTAAATACAGTTAATAATAAAAAACATAAAGATATATGTATATCTCGAAATGACTATTTTTTTTATTTTGTACTTTATTTTTTTAAAAAATATATTGATTTTTTTTTTACAGGGAGGAAGGGAGAGAGATAGAGAGTTAGAAATATCAATGAGAGAGAAACATCGATCAGCTGCCTCTTGCACACCTACTGGGGATGTGCCCGCAACCAAGGTACATGCCCTTGACCATAATCGAACCAGGGACCTTTCAGTCTACAGGCTGACACTCTATCCACTGAGCCAAATTAGAGCCAAACCAGTTTTGGAGGAATTTTAAAAAAATAAATAAATGGGAGATGGCAACGTAACCACAAAACTATGTACATCGAGTCCGATGTAACCCGAGGACTGTCTGTAATCAATATGACAACAAAGCAAATACCAATATAGAATTGTCTTCAGTCCCCAAAAGAAAATGACACCCAGTATTGGTCAATTTATCTTTTCAAAGAATTTTGTAGTCTTCCAGATCTAACTATATATACTGAATGGCCAGATTATTATGACCACCTGACATTTGGAGGCAAATTAGCTGTACACTGCATCGCATGGGATATGGAAGCCAAAGGCCTGTTCGAACACCTTTGCTGTCTGCAGTTACCAGGATAAAACATTTCCAATTCACATAGGAATACAAGGATAGGACAGTTGAGCATTGGGAAAAAGTCATGTGGTATGATGAATCACATTTCCAGTTGTATCATGCAGATGGCAGAGTAAGAATTTCGCAGAAATAACATGAAAACATGCACCCCACATGCATGAGTACAACCCTCCAAGCTGGTGGGGCCAGTGTTATGATTTGGGACATGTTTTCCTGGCATGATTTGGGCCCTTTAATTCATGTGGAACAACATCTGAATAGCACAACATACCTAAGTGTCATTGCTGATTAAATTCATCCTATCATGTTGATGGCATATCCCAATGGAGATGGCTTCTTCCAACAAGACAGTGGGCCATGCCACGGTGCTCACATTGTGCAGGAGTGGTTTCAAGAACATGAGGGAGACTTTACCTTGCTTAGGTGGCCCCCAAAATCATCAGATCTCAATCCAATTGAGCATTTGTGGGACCGAGTTAAAAGAGCCATCAGGCAGCTGGTTCCACAACCATCAAATCTCACAGAACTGGACAGTGCTATTCATCAGGCATGGTGTCAGATTCCTCTCATCACCTTTCCACATCTCATGGAGTCCATGCCAAGAAGAATCACTGCAGTATTAAAGGCAAAAGGTGGCCCAACAAAGTACTGATGGGGTGGTCATAATAATCTGGCCAATCAGTGTATATTGAACACCTCGTACTTTCTTTGCTTATTTCTATGTTTTATGCTGAAGTTGCTACTATTTAAAAAACATTTAGCTGGGACCGGTTTGGCTCAGTGGATAGAGCATCGGCCTGCGGACTGAAAGGTCCCAGGTTCGATTCCGGGCAAGGGCATGTACCCTGGTTGCAGGCACATGCCCAGTAGGGGGTGTGCAAAAGGCAACTGATCAATGATTCTCTATCATCGATGTTTCTAACTCTCTATCCCTCTCTCTTCCTCTCTGTGAAAAATCAATAAAATATATATATGTAAAAAACATTTAGAAGCCATTACCAAGTATTTTCTGGAATAACAACTGTGGAAAATTGAGGGAAATTTGGAAAGACTAGTCCAAATACAATCCTAAATTATAGTCCCGTTAGAGCAAAATGAGAGAGTGAACACCATGTGCAAGACTTGGCAACAGTGTTAAGATATTATGAACTTAGTTTAATTTTCCAAGCTCATATTTCTTCCATTTAATTCTCTCACATATACTTTCTTCCTTAATTAGTTGCCTTTATTCCTAAATGTCTCCAATTACTATCTAGAGAAGTAAAAATTAAGTAATCTATATTAAGCTCATTGAAAAATGATCAAATATCTGCAATATTATTGATGAGAAACTTTTGGGTTCTTAAAGATCATTATCAAAATGCCTCTGTTTTGACTGGTAGTTGCAAAACAGTCACAGGAATGTAAAGTACAACATAGCAAATATAGTCAATAATATTGTCCTAACTATGCATGGCACCAGGTGGATCCTAAAAATATTGGGGAAACACTCTGTAAAGTGTATGATTGTCTAATCCCTGTACTATGCACCTGATACTAATATAGACAATAATGAATGTAAGCTGTCATTGAAAAATTAATGTCTCTGTTTTCCAAACAGCATTTTTTTTTTAGCAAAGACTAAATTACCAGCATATTTTTTTTCCAATGCAAACTAGCAAAAACATGTAAACATCTCATTTAAAAACATCCCACATTTTCTAAGTGTTACATTTAGAAAGTAGTGTGAATCAGTCACTACTGGAATTGCACAAACTGGCCACTGAGAAAATGACCCCCATTTGTGTGACTTCATTGAGACTTAGTACCTGAATAAGCAGGTGAAATCCATCAAAGGACATAACCAACATGTGCGAGATGGGGGTCCCTGAATCTGGCATGGCAGAGTATCTCTTTGAGAAGCACACCTTGGGAGATAATGAGAGTTAAGCCTTGGGCTGGCTTCCCATAGCCACAGGAGTGACTTCCCTGATCACTAGAGCAATACGTGCTTGTTGGAATTGACTTTACCTTCTTTATAACTTGTACCAAATCATCCACTTATGTCTTTAATTTGTACCATTTCTTTTAAAAAAATATATATATTTTATTGATTTTTTTTTACAGAGAGGAAGAGAGAGGGATAGAGAGTCAGATACATCAATGAGAGAGAATCATCGATCAACTGCCTCTTGCACCTCCCCTCCCCTACTGGGGATGTGCCTGCAACTAAGGTACATGCTCTTGACTGGAATCGAACCTGGGACCTTTCAGTCTGCAGGTCGATGCTCTATCCCCTGAGCTAAACTGGTTTCAGCAAATTTGTACCATTTCTTAAAATAAGGTAATTTGCCCCTATTCCCCTCCAACTCCACAAAAAATATTCCACATTTTCCACAAAGCATTGTAAAATCTGAGTTTCATGTTGTAGCTCTCAACTGTATGCATTAGAATATTCCCTGAGATGTTTTTAATGACTACTAATGCCTGATCTCACCCCTAGAGGGTCAGATTTAATTGGTTGGGGCCCAGTATTGGTGCAATTTTGAAATTTCTCCAGGTGATTCTAATGAATCATCACTATGGGGAAACACAGTTTTAGTGGATCCCAATTTTTTTGGCATGCATACAAGCGTGTCCCCCAAGGAGTTATGTTGAAGTCATAACCCCTACTACTCCTGGATCTTATTTGGAATAATTAGTTGTGATGAGGTCATTCTGGAGGGAGGTGGGCCCTAATCCAATAACCAATGCCTTTGTAAGAAGAGGGAAATTTGAACACAGAGACAGAGATGACAATGTCTTGTCACAACATAGGGACTGGGGAGACACAAAAGTGAGAAGCTGAGTTGAGATGGAAGTGGAGACTGGCGTGATGCATTTACCACCTGAGGAACACCTAGGGATGACCAACCATATACACCAGAAACTAGAAGAAGCAAGGAAACACTCTCCCCTAGAACCTTCAGCAATAACCCTGCTGACACCTTGATTTCAGATTCCTAGCCTCCAACACCCTGAGAATGATCTGTCCTTGTAAGCTGCCCAGTTGTGGTACTTAGTTATGGCAGCCCTAGGACATGGATGCTGAGTATCATGGTCCTTTGTTTACTTTATTAAAAATATAGAAGGTCAGTTCTACTATATAAATACATAAACTGAATATCTGGGTATAGGTCATTGGTTGCTGATTTTTTTACTTAGATCTCCTTCCTTACAGTGTGTGGGCCAGCAGTGTTGACATATCTGGGACTTGTTGGAAAAGCTGTCTCAGGTCCTTTACCAGATCTGAATGGACTTTGCATTTGAAGACCCCTATAGTGAGTGAATCCTGTGCACCTTGCACTTTGACCAGCCTTGTCTTCAGGGGATAACAGAGTATCCCAAAGCATGAAATTGGTGGCTGTGGCCAAGAAAACAATTTTTAAGATGAGTGAGAGTATCAATCTTCCAGGAAATGTAGTTAGTTGATAAGAACAGTGATTTTTTTCTAAACATAAAGAAATAAAATTCAATATTTGAAAATACAGTTACAAATCGAGATCAACAGAAAATATTGATTTGCTTGCTTTTTAAAAGAAAAAAATATCTGGCATTCAGGTTCATAAATGGTTAATGTCTCCATCCTTTTATTTTGAGGGCTAGGCTATTTGTTTTTTTTTTCATTTTTAACTTACAGTCAATGGGCTTTCATAATGATTGGAGAGAAACATAATAAAACCAATTTCATGACTCATTTTTTCCTGACAGTCCTGGACAATGTGCTTTAGAGAAGAATGTATTTGGGTTTTGGTTTTACTGTGGTTGGGCCTTTGTGTGTGTGTTAACTGCTTTCTCTTTCTTCTTCCTTGTCCTTTTCACTGTGTAAATGACCTACTTTGAAGTTTCAAATAAAAACAAGTTAAATGGGCTTTTATTTGGCTCTTGATTTCGTCTTTTTCTAGCAAATTTGGAAGAGGTCCTGACTTTGAGTATAACATGGCTGAGTGTGGAGAAGGAGAGAAAGAGCTTTTCCTGTCTGGTACACTTACGAGAACTTTTCTAGCTCAAAGGGAAGCGACGGACCTGCCAATATTTGCACTCTATGAATAGAAACATTTGATTTAAAAAATACAAAAGTAAGAAATAAATGATGTTTACCTACTTTTTGAGACATAGGTTAACAAATCGTGAAGGAGCATTTTGTGAGTGTGTGTGTATGTTGCTGGCTAGCTACTGTAGGGGAAGAAACACAATCTTTCCTCTGTGCTCCCCAGCCTCTTTCCCTCCTCTCCCCTGGTTCTTAGCTGAAAGTTATATAACAAGAAAAAAAAACAAACCAGAAATTTATTAACATGTATACTTCATGTGCACACCAGGAAAAATTAGTAACTCAAAAGGTGACTTAGAATTCAGAAATAAATACTATCTTAATAGGGGAAGAGGCATGAAGTACAAGCCTCTTAGGAGAGAATAAGTTTATAGGGAAGATGAATGAGCCCTTAGAAGTATAGCAAAAGATGTCTTAAAGATGACTGATCTTGATTCACAGTCTGTTCCTGATGACCTGATGATTCCTTTGATTTGACCTGATGATTCATTTGTAGTCCCATGTGCATGAGGAGCATTGTTAGTTCTGTCAGAACAAGGGGTTCTGACCATAATGGGGTTTTAATGGAGAAAATATGAATCCAAAATAAATGTAATTGTGACAAAGTTTGTTTGGATGTGATGTCTACTGCTAGTCTCCTTACCTATGACAAGAGTCAATCTTGTTGATAAAACACCTATTGTTGTGGGAGTGAGCTGGTTATTTATAGCAATTGAGTTCTTTTTGGAGGATCTATAAACAGATTAAGGGAGTTCTGTTTTGTGGGTATCTATAGCTCAAAACTATCAACATAAAAAAGTGGCATATTTTGAGGGTGACATAATCTGAATTCCTACAGTCACGTATATTGGGGCTTCATAGGATTATTCTTTTGTCAATGCTTTGTTACCAGCATTGGTAACATGGTCATTCTCAATACAATTTGATGGCAGATTTTTTTTTTTTTTTTAAATTAAGCAACAAATTATGCTGCTGTTGAAATAGAAGACTTTGATATAATTATTATTTATTTGAATTTTAAGCATTTGTACTCTTTCCCATAAGAAATAACTAAAATTCCTTCAAAATAAAACACCCTAACCCTCTATAGAGAGTTATGCTTGAACTGAACTAGTTTGATGAAACTTCTGTTAGTTCTCGTGAACATGGATGGGATACAACATCTTTCTCCTTGTATTATATATATAGATATTCACACATACACTGTTATTTCAATGTGATCTTGTAGGGTAATATGTTAAAGTCTGTGAGTAAATGAAGAGCAATTAACTAGAGGTGAATATAATGCTCAAGATATGGGCTGACAACAGCTCCTGATGGGAGAACATTTGTAGCAGTTAGTATCAGTGCAATATGTAGAAAGATGGAAATAAACTAAAGTATTCTAAGAACTGTTCCAGAAAAACTGAAGATCAAAATGTAAGATTCAATGTGAGTATACTTAAAACTATATAGCATGTACAGATGGGATGCTGGGGTTGTGTGAATCTAACAGTACAGGGAGTGCTGGTAAAGGATTCTGGGAATAAATTACCTGAGGGCAGAGCTGTAGGGACAGGCCTGAACTACTATTTAGATCAGAGTTTTCTTCATTTGGGCACGTTCAAAAAATCATTAATGACAGTGAGGATTACAGACTATGCTTGATGTAGTGGCATATTTTGAGCTAAAACACTGGGAGGCTGTTACCCAGAACAGTGAACAAGGGTGGGTAGGACTAGCTAATGAAGGATTTGATAACTCCAGTCCTAGCCCCTGCCTTCCTCAGATTCTACCTATGGATTCCATAAATTGACCCAATCAAGATCAGGGGTCGCCATCATATACCATAAAACCACTGACCGAATTTTTCTGCACAAAGGTGTCTGTTGTGCTCCCACATGGCTCCCAAGTACTGGAAAGCAAGTTGAGCTTCCTGTCCAGTCAAAGTACCTCATCCCAACTTATCCTCTGAGGAGAGTAGGCCCTGCTATCTGGAATGAACAGCTAGCCTGTGCTATCTGCCAGCAGAACATAAACACTTTTTCCAAACCCCAATATTAGACATGCTATGCCTATGGTGGGTCAAGACAAAAATGAGACCCCTCCATTATCTTGTATGAATACAGACAAAAACATGACCATTATTAAAGCAATAGAAATTGCTAACCATCCCCCATGCTGATTAGTATGAGTGATGCTGCTTTAGCCTTGCTTTAGCCTTCCCTTCTAAGAGAGATTTATTGATTCCCAATCATAGAATTAACCCAATATTCTGACATCATATGATTCAGAGAAAAACCCTGGTTCTTGAAATCCACTCCACAATTACCAAGGCAGGCCACATCCCGTTATAAGCCCCTCTTACTGAGAGGCACACAATTCCACAGGTGTGCCGTCTCTCCACTGCAGTGAGCAGTTCCCAAACTTGTTCAACTTCAGGAGCGCTCCTGGGGTCGTCTCACCTTTGTACATGTTTGTTTCTCATGCCCTCTGACTGATTAAGCCACTCCTGGAATCCCCACTGGTTTATTCTACTCTTGCTAGCCAGGTGCTTGGCACCCTGCCCCCCTTTTTCTTTAAAAAACCCTCACTCGAGGATATTTTCCCATTGATTTTTAGAGAAAGTGGAAGGGAAAGGGAGAGACAGAGAGAAACAAGATGTGAGAGAGACACATCAATTGGCTGCCTCTCGCATGCCCCTGACTAGGACTGGGATCCTGCAATGGAGGTATTATGCCCTCGACCTGAATCAACCCCAGGCTCTATCCACTGAGCCGAACCAGCTAGGGCACATCCTACCATATTTATTTATTTATCTATTTATTTATTTAAAAAATATATTTTTTTTTTACAGAGAGGAAGAGAGAGGGATAGAGAGTTAGAAACATCGATGAGAGAGAATCATCAATCAGCTGCCTCTTGTACACCCCATACTGGGGATGTGCCTGCAACTAAGGTACATGCTCTTGACCGGAATCGAACCTGGGACCTTTCAGTCTGCAGGCCGACACTTTATCCACTGAGCCAAACCAGT